GTTTGTGTTGGAGGAAGCAGAGGAATAGATTAGGGCTTATAAATGTCTCAAAAAGAGATGAGCCATAGTATGTTGGTTTTGCCTGGGCTAGAGTTAATTTTCTTCCTAGCAGCTAATATGGGGTTGTGATTTGGATTTGCTCTATAAAAACAGTGTTGATAACACAAGGATGTATAATTATTGCTGTGCAGAACCAGGACAGGTGGGCGTTGCCTACGTATTTTGCAGATCCCCTCCCCAGAGGTTCTGCTTTAACCCTATCAACCAACAAGCCTGTTTATAATTTGGCAACAGCTCTGTGTTCTCATTAATGGCTTATATGCTGTTTCCAGGGTTCACGTTTCTTACTCCTGGCGTTTTCTCTCCCAAGACACATTTTCACTCCCTTATCTAAACCTCCGGTTACCTGCAGGCGAATTGTATGTCCAAGTTATTTTTTCCACAGGCTTGCCCTCATTCCAGCTGCATCCAATGGAGAGGTGAACAATGCCGACCAGACCTTGTGAGAAAGAGTAGAGGAAGTACAGCTGAGCACAGAGCTTTTAGTGGGTATTTGCCCATATCCTGAAAGCTTTGAGCAAGCACAGATATGTGGAGAGTGCAACCCTAGGTTTGGGCAAAAAGACCATGCAAATCAATATAGTTTTGACAGTGCACTAAGGGAAATCTGAGTTTGGATTTTATGCAGACTTATTTTGAAAATGTCTGGAAGATAAAAAGGGAAGCGTGTCTGTTACTTCAGCTTAGAATTTGTTTATGCAAATACGGTTTCCTTAATATAAATTCCCGGTTTTGGCACTTAACTTCAGATAGACTTCAGATGCTAAGAACAAAGGCTTAAAAGCAGGATTTGTAACCTGTTGTCAGAACATTCACAAGTTCCAAATTTCCCCTTCAGAGCTGTAAATTTCCTGGAGGCTGCAAAACTCTGCTAGTTTTCAAATGGAGCTTTTGCTACTTACAAATATCTAAATATGCATCAATTCTTTCGTGAAAACATTGTAGCTGGCATCTGGCACTTGATGTGCCAGCAGCAATCGCACTGTGGTATAAATTTTATAAATTCTGCTCATCTTACTGCACAGCATGATGCCTGGGGACCATGATGATAAGAAATGTGAGCGTATTATTATACGAAGGAGAAAAAGAATGAACCAAGGATATAGAAAACTTAGTGCTGGTAGGTGGCTTTCACCAGACTGTTAGTAAACGCTTTCTTCCGGTGACAGTGGACATTTTGCATTCAAATCCTGGTCCCAGGACCGTGTTCCTTGTTCAAGCTTGTATTGAACATGTGTGCCAGAGAGGGTTCTGGCAGAACCGGTGTTAAGTCCCACTGTGAAACCTGTAGGATGTGAAGTGGAGGGAAGCTACCGTAAAAACTTCTATCCTCCCTGTGTATGTAAAGCCCTGGGCAGGGAGGCAGGCAGTAAGCCATGGAAATTGCATCTCCTCCTGTTGTCTCCACCAAGGCATGGCCAATTCGAGCATCTTCTTGCATTAGGGAAGGGAACCTGGGACTCCTCACAGTGAGCAAACACCCATTGAAGTCAGAAAGTAATTGTGTTTTCAAATCACCAGGGTTTCACTGCTTCTGGACCATCTGAAATAACTGAAAGTTTGGGAACGTGACTGTACCTCGATGTCAAATCTATCACTGCCAGCCTCAATGGAAAATTTTATTATCCTCATAATTACTCTAGATTGTCAGTAAAATGAACCAGAAGGATTTGGTTCACTTTTGAAAGTTCTTTGTAGCAACACAACTGGAAAATATCAAAGGATACCATAATGTTGTCTAATCTCAGTGACTTCTATGGAGTCTAGTAAATGTGTTCTTTCAGAAAAATCCCAGTTCTTGAAGTCATGGTACTGAATTATCACCAGTGAGTGTCTAGCCCTTGGGATGGCATAAAAGAGAATAAAATAAAAGGTGAGGGGACTCCAAACCAAAGGCAAATATTAAGCAGCTCAAATCATTATGCTGTCAGCTGTCTGGTTTGCAGCCAACTGCAGAGCATTTGATCCCGTGTCATAACTCTACATCTCTTAAATTGCTGGCAGTGTTGGCTTCTCACAGAAATGAGTGCTGCCTCCCTAGCAGGTTCAGTTCACTCCTGTTGAGCTCAGTGTAAAATAATCTTTAACTACAACAGGTTTGGAACTGCTATCCAAATGGCTATACAGTTTACATGCCACTTTCACACAAGGGAAAACCAAATCTACCAGAGTGACAGTGACAAAAAGCAATGGCAGATCCACAAAAGGAGCACTGATTGGCCCACCCACCCTTTCTTCTGGACCGCTTTCAGATCACTTGGCTCCCAGTGACTTGGGAAACCTCCTGGATCATCACACCTGGCCTGACACGATCTCCTGGCCCATTGCAGTAGCAGGGTACTGCCGCAGCCCAAAGGCGCTACTACCACCGCAGACCCAACGGCATCTGATCAAGCCGTGTGCAACCCTTGCGTCATCAGTGTGTAGGCTGAGCTGGGTAATCGGCTGTGCTGACTGAGCAGCCTCAAACAGCCACATTTTCCTGGAGGCAGAGTTTGTGAAATGTAGTCTGGGGGACTTAATATTTCTGTCAAACGCTTTCATTTTGTGCCTCCTTGCCACCTGCTTTAATTTCCAGAACACGCAGCTAAGCGGCTGCTAAGTCATTAAAGCTGCAGCTAGGACAACCATAAGAAAATTTTAGATGCTTATTTCGGTGTATGTTTAGTGCCTTCATTCATATACCCGTATCTTGTCACATATTTCCAGGCGTACACTGGCAGGATATTTAGTGAAAGAGACAGAGGCAGCAGGTAGGATTTTTGAAGACACCTAAAGGAGTTAGGCACCTGGCTCTTACTGAAGTGATTCGCAATGTTAGAGGTACAGAAGAGGCTTTCTCTTATAGTTAGTGATACCACACTAAAAACTGTCCAGGAAACGGCTGTAGGAAGGTGGAAGCACGGAATGACAGGTGTTACATATGTCATAAAGGTGGCAACTGAGATACTTCGGGCTGGAATATGGCGAGACATGGGTGCTCTTAAATAAAGTCATTTTGAGAGATACTGCTTTGTGATATAAGATCTCCTCACCTTCCCTTGCAATTTCCAACTGGGGTAAAAGAGCAACCCAAATTGTAAAAATTCCACTAACCTTAATGCTGTGCTAGTTTGGAGAGCAATGCAGCATTTAATTTCTTTCTTTTCTCAGCTCCCACCCACACGTGGAAGTATGAACTAGTGACTATCTGCAATAAAAATTAATCAGAAGCATTTAGTTCACTAATACCTTAGTTCAGCTTCTGAAGGTCTTGACTGCAGAATAAAGTGTATTCTTATTGCACAGATCACATGATTAGTCTTAGGTCCCTCAATTATTTTTGTTCTTTTGATCAACCAAAACCAAACTTCCCAAGCTGCAACTTCATCATATTGAAAAGCAGAAAATTATTTCAGAATTTTAATGTAATGATCCCATCAGAATGGATTCTAAATGAATCCTTCAGTCAGTTTGGTTGTGATTTGACAAATTTTTAAACATAGCAAATTCTTAAAACCAAGTAGATTTAAGTATTGACTACTTCAGTGTAGGCAGGTGCTTAACCTACACTTATCCTGCCAAGTCTTGGCCTTTATGACTCAAGTCTGAAGATCTGATTTGAGATACTGGTGCTAGAGAAGACCTTGGAATGCTGAAGGCTAAATCCTGACTCTGGCACAAACTATGCCTTTACAGGAACTGTGTCTATTGAATATGACTTTTCATAAGCTTCATAAAATAGGAAAATAATTTCATATAGTGTTTCCTTTAAAGTAGTACAAACCTTTCTTAAAAACATTTCCCAGTACCAAAGCCAAGGATATTTCTGCCAGAAATGCATCTCTAGTTTATGTGCATTTTTCAACTTGAGATTTAGAGAAAAGCAGTATATTTGCAATACCTATCACTTGCTGAAGGCCAAAGTCAAGTTATGCTTTGGTAGTTAAATGCAAATTACATCATTTGCAAAACTGACCACTGAGTCATGATAGTTTTCACTGTTTATAAGAAAAAAGATTTGTCAGATATGCCGTTGACCAACCATGTATATTTTGCATTAAACCTATTAAACACAAGTTATGTGAACTTGCCTAATTGGTATGTAACTTCTCATTGGAGACTGGTAGTCAAGGACACTAGATCTTCACCATAAGCAGAGAGCTACTTATAAATAACCTTAACACTCAAATTAATAAATTAAAGTTACAGAATATTGTTATATTATCATTAGAAAAATCAAATGCACACACCTTGTACACAGAGAGATCACACCAAATCATTGTTAAAGCAAGATACAAATGTTCTGAGTAGCATCATATAAGAATTCAAACTTGACATCAGAAAGATAGAATGCTTTTGATATCAGTGACAGTGAATAATGCTTTTAAAAATCCTTTTATCTAAATTTCCGAGTTGGAATACTAGTTCCTGAATTCAGACTCCTTCCATGGTTAACCAGCATAATTCACCTGTAATCCCCATAGTTGTGCTTCTTAGATAAGTAAGATTCCTAATATTAATTTTCTCATGAAATTGAGACTGCTGAATCCTGTTTTTATCTGAACAATGACAATTGGCATTTTTCTTCTGGTAAAAACACATGGCACAGAAGATAGTTCTATATTGTCAACAGATTGACCTGAAAAATATAATATATACCGTATTTATATATATAATGTGTATATATACACTATGAATATTCACATTAGAGAATCTGAATCAATTTATTGAAATTACTTTTTAAGAAAGCTGTCTGCTGTGACTTCATTTCTACATAAAGCACTGAGAATTTTAAGGTGTACCATGTGAAATGGGGCTTCTTAGAGCTAAAGAAAACATACTGGTGAAATATATGTGAATATGGTGGGGTTTTTTTTGCTAATGTACATGTTTCTCAGATATGAAATTTCCACCAGTTATAGCTTGCAAATTACAAGAAGTAAAACAGATATCTGGACTCAGTGTTTCCTCTCAGCAGGCTGCTGCAGGCAGAGTTCACTCCCAGAAGAAACTATTGGCAAATTATTCTCAAGGTGATGATTGATGAGATGACTTATGCTGTCAAAGACACGATCCTTTGTACGAACCTTTAAAAAAAGGATGCGAGAAGATAGATTAAAGAGCAACATACTTTCTCCCTTAACTTTGCACTAAAATGCTCTAAGATTAAAATGATGTAATTAATCATGTTTTGGAGGCTGATCCCTCTCCCATCAAAATCAACAGAAATTTGGCATTTCTGGAGTATTGTTTCTGTTTTGCCTCTTACTATCTCTATTCTCTCCAAACAGGTATTTTGCATGCTACCTATGGGCGAGTCTACTACTGTTACTCTTGCAGAAGAGGTCTACTTGAAATCTGTCTGTGCGACATTTTGTTTCACTGTTAAGACAGATTTTTTAGATAAAATTTTCTTTTTTCTTTCACCTTTTCCATTACAAAGGGCATCCTGCCAGAGATGTCAGAACCCAACTCTTCGTGTACCTCAGCACCTTTGCCTTTTTCTCACCAAAGATGTTCTTCTTCAGGTGCTGGAAGATTCCCTTCCCCAAAAGCCATCTAGCCACCACGTGTGCTTGGCTTGGGTTTGCCCCGTGCTGCACGGTGCCTTTGAAACTGAAACACTCCAGGACAGGGAACGTCGTTTTTCTAGACCATTTACCAGCCCTCTGCATCAGCATCCTGCTAAGTAAATTATTACACCTATAATAAGAGGAAACTGATATCACAAGATAAAACAGTCAAAAAACAGAGCAGGCCAAAACCTGATCTGTATTATAAAACAATCTTTAATTATTTAACCACATCTTCATAAAACATTTCCTTCCTGTGTCTAAAACAAGATAGGCATACAGCTTCCAAAGGCAGAGCAGAGGTCTTCTCATGCGAATCTCACGCTGCAGTAAAGCTTTGCGATGGGATGGCTCTACACTGCCTCCAGCTAAAGCCTGTGACCACTCCTCTGAAGTGAGGCACCTCGTCTGTTTTCACTGAACTTTTCTCAGAAAGAGAGAACAACTTTCATTACGACTTTCCAAAACCAGGTAATTCTGCGATGGGCACCTTGCTTGAAATAATTCAGTCTTCATCATTAGATTCTGGCAAAACTGCTAGAAACTTGGCACAGGATGTCACAGGGTGAAAGAAGAAACAATTTTGATGGCCAATGATGCTATCTGCTGGGTCCTCACGAAGTTGCGTCACTGAAGAAAACCAACAGGGTCTCTTGATTTCTAAAATATAAGGCTTTGAAACATCATTTTCTGTAATTAGTCAAAGCCGTATTTTCAAAATGGAAGGATATCTTTAAAACAACAGTAACTTTCCTTATCTACGCTCAGATTAACACATTGTCGGTCCATTCAATTCTGCTGAGAGTTTTCACAGCCTAAGCAATATGCTCTGCCGTCACCAAAGCCCTAATTCCAAATCCAGAAAAAAACCTGCAGTCCTCTGTTTTATTCATCCTTTCCTTAAACTATAGATTTTTAAAAATTACATCTGGATGAAAGCAGAAGCAACTGGAGAGTTAATTCTGCCCTGAACACGCACCCTTAAGAACCGTGGCATTGGGTAATTTGTGTGTGTGACCCGGCTGGTGTCCCTGTCAAGCCCAGGTTGGCACCTAAAAAGTGCAAAACCCATCCTCTGACTGCCCTCATGTGGCAAATGTAATTACAACAAGTACCGTGGGCATTCCTCACGCAGCCTCACGGGTTCTCCCTGCAGGACCCGCACCGTTCGGCCGGCTGGGGCAGGATTCACCACCGGACCAGACACCAGCATGCCAACTCCTTTACAGGAGTTTCTCATACAGTCTGGGGCCTGTCATCCTTTGCAGAGGAAGAGGAGCTTCCCACTCTCAGCTACCAGGAGTCAAGAATAAAACATGTGGCAACGCTTTCATTCTCCCAGACTAGACTAAGCCTCCACAGAAGCATGAGGGGACAGCTGCAGAAAACTGGGGCTCTGTTGCCTTCTCCACCCTGCTGCTGGGAAGGTCCCTTTGTCCCAGTGCCACAAAGAGATGGAGCAGGTCTAGCCTAGTTTCCTCCTGGACAAGAAAAACACAGAGGGCCTGGTCCCTATCCAGGCTGACAGAGATACCACGTGGAAATTGCGGGAACGCAGAACTTGCAAGAACCACCAGCAGCTTCTCACGAGGAAGGCTAAAGAAGTGGGTCGGCTGCACTTTTGACTAAGACCGTACCGCAGTGGCCAAAGCTTGGCCTTGCTAGGGAGCCAGGTCTCCAAGGCTCCCTGCAATGGTCAGAAATCATGCAGTGGGTCTTCCGTAGGCATCCCAGAGAGCATCAGGGATGTGATGGCATATTAGAGATATGAGGTTGTACTCATGATCAGTCATGAATAAACTGTAAGCAAGATTAAACACATTTAGAGGAAATGTGTAGAGTCAGAAACCTCCTAAGTCAGTACTTACAGTTCCCTCTGGGTCCACCAAAAGAAGGTGCTTGGCTTGTCCGTTGTGCATGCCTGTCAGCACATAGGAGCCAGGATTCGTGGTGCTCTTCCTCACAAGGAAGTCTCCACATCTCTTTAACAGCTGTTCTGCTTCTTTCCTGCTCATCTCCCCTTGATACCACGGCTCTGTGCTCAGCTCTTCAGCTACAGTCCAGTCAGCTGCTCTGGATAGAAGAGGACTGGTGCATCCAGTGGAGGTGGATTTCCTCAAGGCAGCCTCAGACGTTTGGTTCTTGAGGGCGTCCTCAAATGGTTCTGGTTGAGGAAATAGGAGAAAGGACAAGATCATTCAGAGGTAAATCATGTCACAAAATGGTGAGATTCCAGTCATTTTTAACAGGATTTATTTTGTGTTACAGCCACTTCTCTTTATCTTTATGAAAAAACTGAGGGAAGAGGTACTGCTAGGCCTACTGATTTATGGATTAGACTAAGACTGAAGAGTGTAATACGTTAAAAATGTATGTTATGCACCGAAAGACGCTGATAAAAATCAGAGTGAACCTTGGCAGGAGCTTTTGAAAGGTACTGATTTTATTTCAGTAATGGCTGTTGTCAACAGTTGCATTTGTATGCCCTGGTACCAGGCAGAGCTCTCCTTTTGTCTTCCCACGTACGTCAGTTAGTTTTATTTCAAATAAATTGCATAATATGGGTACCCAATGTCGTTATATCTGGTCTCTCTTAAAGCAACATATTCATTTAAAAATTATCCATTACTGAGTCTCCAGCCCAAGGCTACGTCTAGAAGGGATCAGTCACTCTTATCACTCAGTCTACCCCTAGCCTCCACCTAGCAAGAGGACTTTGCAACACAGACACAAGCTAACACCTTTGCTGTGATCTACCTAGCTGAAATCAGCCTCAGGGAAGCATCTTTTAAACCTCAGCTAAATCCTGAACTCAGTGCTACTTCCAGTAGAGTGGAATGGAAAGATGTGTCATTACAGATCCCAGCAGTCTTACAGATACAGTAAATAGGTCAGTATGTGCTTCATTATATGCTGTACTATCAGAAGCCATTTTTGTTCACAACACCTTCATCTGGCCAACCCGTGCATATTAAAAAGCGATATTGTTCTTTGCCCACTGGACTTACTAAAGGATATCTGCAGAGCAGTAGCATTCAGCAATACACCGGCTCTAAATAGACCGCTCAGGTGTGAGGCGTACATAGCCATGTTTGCATGAGGCCACCGAGAGGCCAACTTAGCTCAGAGAAGTAGTGTGAATATTGTACTGCCACAGCTTATTGATACCTCATCTAATTCCTAAAACCAGATTATATATGTCTCCTCTACATTGCAGTCTGCACTAAGCCCAACACATGTTTAGCTTGACAAACCACTAACTCAGGGCTAGTTGACACATTAGTTAATATTATTTTTCACCGATGACAGTTAATGAAGATTAATGGAGGCTGGAAGATGTGAAATCATTTTTCCTTATTTTTAGGAGAAGAATGTGTATAAAATGGAGGTAAGCATGTGCATGTTTTAAGGTTATGTTAGAAATCAAGGTTAACATCCCTGATTTCACACAGTGGACTTCCCTCATTTCAGATCTATATAGACAGATAGACATTCTCTCAGCTTTCTTCCCTTCCCCTTTCTTTCAATCCAAAATCCTCCTAAGCTGTGGAGATAGAGTCATATCTCAGCAAAAAACATGCCAGGCAGACAGTTTTATGTATACCGAGATAACAGAAATGTAGACATGTTATTTTACAAACAACATATAAGCACCAACTGCTTTGTCTCACTGCCTTCTAATTATGTGAACTGAATTAAATAAATCATGTGTCAGCACATGACACATGCTGGAGGTAGGAAGAGTAGAAAAATTAAGAAAATTTTCTGTGCATCAAACTGTTTTTCCTATATTTCCTGTTAAGTATCTCTTCAAGGCTGAAAACAATGTGTATTGGTAGCACCAAGATCAAATTACGATGGATGCTTTTATGCCTATGATTCTGATTTTGGTAAATCTGACTCCAAAGTGGGAACATATGGCTAGAGAGGACAGTAGGCCTACCCAGAACAAGGGATAGCTCAGCCTTTTAATTTCCCTTCCAGCTGTTGCACAAAGCTTTTGTAGTATGCATTGACTTCCAAGCCACATTCTCAGAGGACAGCCTGGAGTTAATTCTCCAGCCATTCACTCCTTCATTTTTGTGCATGCCAAGCCTCCTGATTTATTCTCCCTGTGATGTAGTTGCTTGTGATGCTAAGGGTAACATACACTGCAACTTGGCTTAACTCAACACAAACTAGCTTCAAATCGTTGGCGACCCTTACTCAGTCCAATATGAAACCCCCAAGAATTCTAAAATTCACAGTGACTCCAACAGTCATACTAAAAGTTGGAGAATTTTTAAATTATTTTTACACAGAACTAATGCATAAACATATTGCGTCCCTTGTTAGAAAGGGAGTGAATAGGAAGGGAACTTACTCATGTCAAACAGATCCTTTCCTGGGCTGCTCTCTTTGGTATCGTCTGCTGTTCCACTGAAGGCACTTTCAGCATCTGCCTGAAGTGCCAGTAGAGCCTCTGTATTTATATGCTGGGTGTTTACGTATGTTGGCATCTCTGCTGTCGGGATTACTTGTGACTTCCCTTCCGGCATACCACAGATATCCAGAGACCCTAGAAAATTCAAGACTTCTTTTTCTTCTTTTTTGTATTTGACAGAATGAGCAAATAACATCACACACCACCACCACAGGTTCAAAATCCCCTCTAATGGGAGATGTAAAGGCAATAACTGCAGGATCTAGTTAAAAAAAAAAAATGCTGATGAAGAATGGATTCAGGACTGTGTTTCAATTAGGGTTTTGGAGGAGAGGTTATTATTCAGGAGGAAAGGAAACATTTGTAAATAAAGACGGTCAGTTCCAAAACTGATATTCAGCTGGGGAGTCATGAGAGAAGGAAATGGAGTAAAATCCTCAAACCTGTGCAGATTAGGAAGAGGTAACACATTCTGACGTTTGAAAAGAAAGTGTCCCCAGAAACACAGTAAAGCTGTCACATAGAGGCGGATGGGGCGAAATTTCACACATATGCTTTGATGTGATTTGCTTAAAATTCATAGACAACAACAAAAAAGAACATTATGGATTATTTGTTATTGAGGAGCAGAGGTCATCTGAAGACACATGCATTGCTCCACATTTTAAATAAACTTCTGACTTCAGAGTCTTCTTTTGGAAACCCATCTTGCATACACTAAGGGGTCAGATTTTCAGAACAGACCCTGCAGCCTGTTTTTAAATACCCTGGGGTTTTAAGACATGGCACGCTAGATAGCTGAAGGTTTTGGAGCAACTCTATATATGAACTGCTCTGCAAAAGATAGGATTTTATGGAAGTGTGCATTTGGTAATTTATCCAGAGGTAATCACCAAATGCTTTTCACTGATATCGATGCTAAAATTCGGACACAGGGACTCTATCAACAAAGTGCAGTTCATTGCCTTAAGACTTTGAGACATCTGACTTTCACATGCTTTGCCCACCCAAGAGCTCCTGAAGTATTACAGCTAAAACTAGCAAAACTCACCTTGCTTAACAGGCCCATGGTGCCAATCCTCACTGAATTTGTCTCCTAAGTGACGACTCTGGTAATAGGTTTGCTCTCCTCCCACTCCTGCTGCAGACTAGAATGGACACATGTGCAAAGAAATTTTCAATTACTTTTAAAACACTCAGATATATTATGAGTGGCTCTGACAATTTCCTTGGCTGTATTCTGTGTACTCCCACTCTTCATTTCCGATTCATCGTGGTGTCAGAATATATATCTTACAAATGCATTTGTGTAGGAGTAAGATATTACCGGTGACCTTCACGTAAACTTCCCTGCTTCCTGCTTTTATTAACCCCCAAAATCCCAAATGACGCATCATCTCCTCCAGTACATTTGTCTTCACATAGCCAGCCCTGACAAACTCTGCCTGGGAAAAGCGTTCCGCAGAAACACACCTGGGACCAGAAGACACCCCCAGTACCCTCCAAAGCACGAGCTGAAAGACTCACGTGGGTACCAGGGGAGGCACTCAGGTGCTGAACGGAGGATGTTGGCTACACACAAGTCCCCCTCCGCATTCACGCAGAGCTGTGCTGGATCTGAAAACTCCTTATAATGGACTGTGAGTAATGACTGCACCTGGTTCTTGTAACAGATCTGCATCGGATATTTCCCAGTTAGCGTGCACTGTTTGACACCCCTGAGGCAGACGTGTTTTCTACAAAGGTAGTAACGCTCAGTGGATTTCTCTTCCTCAAACCTGTGTAATCTTGTAACACCATGAGGAGTTCACCTCCTTTGGTTTGTTCTGAACCTGCCTAATTTGTTGCCCTCTAGATCTTCAGTGTCGATCCAAAATGAAACTGGCCACACATAAAGGGCGGTGAGCTATAAATTGTCCCGATGCACCCATCTTAAAATATACATTTTTTAGAAAATTTGGATCCATCAACAGGAGGGCAGAGATGCAATTGCACTGACCTGAGTTGTATCTGCTGCAGTGGGAAGTCTTGCTTTGAGCCTGGCATCAATGAAGCCGCCAAGGGGGGGCATTTTATTTGGGATATTGTTGTAATAGGGATGTTCTCTAGCTTCGTTATCTTCCTCCATCCATGGCTCATCAAAACTCTGCATCCTGTAAGAAAGTGAGTGCTTTATCTTGGCCCTCGCTTGCCAAGCGAGGCACTTACAGATACTGCAGCATGTTAAGACTGCCTGTCAGGGGATCAACTATTCCATATTGTTTTGACAATCCAGCTACCATTGTAAGCCAGGAAGCAATGAGGGATCATGCAGCAGACCCTCTCTGTTTAGACAAACTTGATCTAAATCTCCTTCGCAATAGGTGAAATTCTTTATGCTGAGTAAAGGATGGTTTTACTTAGCTTTAAAGACCACTATAAACCTGCATCAGCAAACAACTTTAACCTTACAGTAGCATTTGCAATATTATTACTTGATTGACTGGCTAAGCCCTAAAACTTTAATTATGGCTGCTCTATCACCAATATAAATCAATATAAGCTCTTATGAAGAGCTTCATAAAGTCAAGAGATCAGATCTGTGCTTTCAGTCTATATTTAACAGTCATTTACACAAGACTAAAGTGAGTACAGAACACTTCCAGGCTAGGATAGCAGCATTTCATATTCACCATACACTCATTTTACTCTGATGTAAGAGATTACACAGGGTATCAGTTCATTGGGATTTATACTAATGTTAGCAAGCACATAGCAATCCATGTCAAAAACACAGCTCACCAAAGAAAACAGAATGCTATATCCCAGTCTTCTAAACACATGCAAGCAGACAGATTTTTGTATCCTCCAGAGAACAATGCAGTCAAAGCCTCTATACAATGCATCACATTCCTAAAAACTTCACTCTGGCTAATATCAGAAATAGTGAAACATCACTAGCCATTTTGGAAGCCCAGAAACTCTAGCTGACTTCACCTAAATTGTCAGAGCGCCCATGACAGTAACAACAATGAGGAAATGTCACAAATAGCACCCATTCTTGGCCATCCAACTCTGCCCACTAACTACCACAGAAAATGCATGACCTGCACTGTGAAATCCATATTTAGCCCATCCTTTAAAAATGACTGTTCTCTTTTCATATTCATTAGGCAAACCCTGCATTTCTAAATCAGTAGAAATCTCTTTTAGAAGTCGTTAAATCCTGTCAGTCTCCAGCAACTTTGTCCACAGCACATTTTATTAAGTAAATACAAAACTAAAGGAGATCCTTTAGCATTCTTCAGCAATTGTACTCACCTGTCCTGGAAGGTAGGTATCTTAGAGGGGCATTGCAAGTATTGCTTAAATCGAAGCTCAAACGCTTGTCCTATAGTGCTGATGACATCCTGGGCCAGGCCATCACAGCATTCCAGTATATGACAAGCTAAATGAAAAAGATTTGGCATATGCTCATGCAAATCATTGTTTATGTTATGGTGGGATGCACTGACCTATGGCAAAACATCCACATGTCAGGCATAGTTGCCCTATTCATGGTGTGCACATTTCAATAAACCCCAAATCTGGCACAGTGCATTTCAGGCAATATGGTCTTCTTAAAGGTTAAATAAATTTGCTCTGGTGTGTAGCTGCAATAGGCAAGACCACAGAACAGTTCCCCAATCTTAACAAGTCCATAAGAACAGGAAATATCGTAAAATTTCACTTGACCTGAATGCAGTAGATTATATAAGAATTCTGAGCTTTAAGTTGAAATTATAAAAACATTAGTAGATGGTAACAACAAAAAAAAGCTTTCTTTGCTTTCCTTAATATTATCCCCACTGCAGTTTTATCTCTAATCATCCCAAATTTGCAAGCTGTTCACTTCGAGTTTCCAGAATTTCCCAAATTACAGGCTGAGGGATAAGCAGTAACTAGGATACTTCCTAAATACTATCTAGATCCCAGGCCATGATCTGATTCCAGTAAGACAGCATCTGGTACCTTTCCCTGCTTGTATGTGTGGAGGCACTCCTAGCAAACCTCAGCATCATTGGAGAGCACAGAGTCAGGACCCCAGTTAATTCCAGCAGTCCCCATGTGCCCTCTCTCTGAACCCACCGTGACAGAGGCAGTAAGGAGGGAGCTGGCAACACAAGCTCTCTTCCTATGGGAGACTGAGAAATCTCCATCAGCTGCCTGAACAGTCACATCCATCACGGTTTTAAGCCAGAGAGTGGCTCAGCGGTATCATATTATGTCACAACAGAACAGGTGAACTTGTGAAAATTTCACCTCACACTGCAGGAACACAGACAAGTGTTAAAAGCTGGAAGCCAAAGATATGAATGAATGACATCTCTGTGATATTCAGAAAAGCCCAGACAAGTTCATTTTCCATACTCAGTGCTGGACAAGCACCTGGTCTACTGGCTAGAGCGTGGATTGGATTCGAAACTCTGGTCCTTTTCCAAGCCCTGATGCAGTACAGTGGGACCTTGTTCAAAGTCACTAATTCCTATCGCCCCCAACTGTTTTAGTAACTGGAATATAAATTCTTCAGCTGAAAAACTGCATTTCAGTGTATCCCCAGTTGACAGCTCAGTGGAATCAAGTGCTTTGGATGCCAACATCCTACAGATAGGGTTGGTCATGACAGTTGTGTGACATAATTTTAGTTAATGCAATATAGGGAGATTAAGTAGGTTTAGCGATGACTTCTCAGTGGCTGATCTGCTGGACAGACTCCTGGAGAGGCCAGAATAAAGGGTCAAGAAGCCTGCAGTGATCCAAGTATGGAATGACCAGGGGACCAAGCTGTCTCCCCCTCGGCAGCAGCAGCACCTCTAGCAGCGTGAGATGGCACCAGTCACAGTGCTGCCCTGATAACCAGTGGTGCTCTGCCCACCCTACAGCATCCACTGTGCTGATCAGCATGCTGAGGCAATGCCTCATCCTGGGGAAAAGTCCTCAGCTGTATGTTGAAAGTGGACTTGGCAGCCAAACCCAGGATCTCCACGGGTTCGAAGGCAGAGGGAGACACCCCTGGCCAGCAGCAGGATATTTGCTGTTTACCCCTTCTGCACCACTGCTGGTGGCAGTGACATTCAGCCCCCAGAGAAGGTGCAGACTTGTCTCCACGGTCCAAAAGTAGTTAGGCCGAACAAAGCTGTGCTTTTTGCACTCTATAACTGGAGTGGGGATTTAAAGAGGCTACATTGCTCACTGCTAAACCTGTCTGGAGCTGAAATGAAGCGTGAGTCATTAAGTAGTTTCGGTAGATGACATAATGAGTAACCTGTTTCCTTGGATACGTGAATGGACTTTCAGCAGGTAGGAGATGTGCTTCTTGTTAAAGGATGAGAAGGTTTGGCTCACACAGAGATTTCTTGTGAATGTTACAGCAGAAGACAGACACTCTTTATCTTGCTTGATCCGGAATATAAAGCATGAAGGGAGCTTTTCCATCCTTGGGAAGAAATGAAGCTATAACATGCAAGTGAAAGCTATAATACAGCGTTGGTGCTAGTGTCAGTAAGAGCAGCAGCAACATTTTCACTAGATACAGAAGTAAATTCAAACGCACTTCTACAGTAATTTGCAGATCGCACAAAACTGACAGGATGACCAGTGGTGGTGAAAGAGTGCAGTCCGGATCCCTTGGTAAAGTAACCTTTTAAAAAAAACGCGTTTTAATACTGGCAACATACAAAGTCACTGATCTGGAAACCACACATATAACAGGGGGAAGCTCCCATGGAAAGCTGTAACACAGGATTAAAGATGACAGCGTGAAAGAGTTTCACGTGAGATAACGGTGCTTCGCTGCAGAAAAAAGGGCTTATGAGAAACTCCCTAAGTAAGAATAGGAAGGTGTGGCCACTGTTATAGATAGATGACACTAATACTAGATTACTTCAAACAATAATTGTATCATCTACCTTTCTAAAACAATGCAGAAAAATGAAAGAAAGAGGAACAGAAATTGTCTGAAGGATGGAGGGCATGCACCGTGCACTGCAGCTGGAGACCGTCAGAGTTCACTCTGTCAAGACTTTTCCTAAAGGAAACTGGGAAAGTACTTGAACTAAATACACCATAGAAAGACAATACCAGGTGCATAGATGCCTCTTAGATCTAGGATAGACTAACTCAACAGGGAACAGGGGCAGGAAGCTAAGGCTAAACACACTCAACTTAGATATAAGGAACATAGTCCATGAAACTTTTTTTATAGAAAATTCACTCACACAGGAACAGAAAACTGAGAACAAGGGTCCCCCAAACCCTACAGCACAAACATCTGGTCTGCAATGCTGGTCAACTACATTGCTACTGAGATCTCTCCGTCTCCAGTTCAGCAGAAGGGTGCTGCTAAAGCAGGTAGGGTGGGGAGCAGCTCTGTACCACGCAGCCTGCAGCCTGATGCCAGAGGCTTCCTGATGGAGGACAGATGATGTTGGAACATAAGCAGCATGGCAAAGAACTGGACTACCTCCCTGCCTCCCATTCCCCATAAGTTTCCCAGGAGTTTCACTAATATTCAGAATATTAGTATGCTTAGTGCCAGTATTATTTATGAGCCAATGCTCTCAAGCCTGGACAGGTCTGCACACAGACACCACAGATCGTTGAGGTACCTAAGATCATCAAAGGTGACAAAATATCAAAGCTATTGAATTAGTGTGCCCACGGTACAGTGGCAGCTCAGGCTTTGCAGGGTTGGCATTTTGGAGTTCAAGAGTCTGAATTCTGCAGAAATCCTGTTGGAAGTGCTCGAGTCTTTTTTCGGAGCTAGTCTTTTTTCTCTATGAATCCATGAATAATAAATAGATTTGCAGGTACGTTATACAATACTTTGTATCTAGAATTAAGACCTAGCGATGTTTTCTGGGATACAAGCAGGAACATTTTCTGTACCTATTATTTCAGATGGTAATTTACAGTTTTTGTAATTTACTTTTGTTTTTTGAGAATCTGAACTGGATATTAGCCTTTGAAGACAATCAACAAGAGGTTCCCTTTCCCTGGCTGATAATGCAATACAACCTTGAATAAAACTTCACTGAGAAAGAGGATTTTAGCCTCCAGCAATCTGTCTCGAAAGCTCACTATTTGGTAAAGAATCTGATTCTGCCAGGAAGAATTAGGCATGTACTGAGAAGACCTAGATGGTTCAGCCTCCTCATCGGATGACTTAATCAGAGGGGTGTTTAGTTCTTGCACAGTGATTGGGTGTAGGTAAGAGTTAGCTGTTGCCTAGAAGCTCACACAGCCAAGTAAGGCAAGTGTTTGATTTAAGAGATGAAGAGAATCCAAGTGATATTTGGAGATTAACTTCAGGCAAGGCCTGTTTCAAGTTTGAGAACCAACTTGAACATAGCTGCTCCTTGTTGCTACACAATCCTTCCATGACTCTGTCAAAGGTAACATTTTTATTGGACTACATTTTTCTTTTTTCTTGGGGGGGTGGGAATGGGGAGGAGGTGATGGAAATGATCAACTTAATTATACCCTGAATAATTCATGTTTCTCAATGGAAAAAGATGCCATATAGAAGTTTCTAACTTACCTCTCCGATTAACAGGATCCTTAGCTACATAAGCAACATAGTCAGTTGTATCCTGTCAAAAAATTAAGATATTTACAATGAATACAAAAAATTTTTGCACTGATCACAGCAAAAGATCACAGTCCAGAATGTGCATATTTCTGTGGGTAGGGCCTTAAAACAACATGTTTTCCTCTACAGTTATATACTACTTAAACCCCATAAAAACATTTATGGGTTTTGGTACTGATCTCACCACTTTGCTTTCTCCAGAGTGTGATCTATTCCAGCAGAACTTAAAAATCTCTTCCGACCCCTTTGAAAAATCAATTAAACAAATACAGCACAATTTGGATCAGGCCTCATTTTAAGAGAGTAGAAATTACCAGTCCTCATCTTCAAACTACCCAGAGATTTTGGTTCAGAACATGAATAATCAAATGGTTCTGTGGCAGAAAGAGTGAAAGTACCAGCCTTGCACCCCAGAAACACCAAGCAGTAGCATTTATTCACATGTGACAAGCGGGTGTGTTTACTTTACCAACTACCATGCAGTATGACACAGACAAGCAGTCTCCCACAGCCCATGGGCTGCTCCCAGCCATCCCTGTTACCGCATGCCAGGTGGATTTTCTGACAAGAGCAGGTTGACATGTTCTTTGGGGATTTTTGGCTTCTTCTCCTGCCACCCTCATGGTCCTGTGCATAAGCAGCACAGACTTTTATCATTGTGCAGATGAAACAGAAAGGCCAATGCTACCGGGAAATGTGAGGTGTGCTGGCACATCTGGAAAGTGCCATGTATCCTTGATGAATCAGGAAGTCCTGGTTAGATCCAGTGTTTCCTGACATGCCTGGCTAGTCAGGTATAGCTAAACCTAACAGAGGTATATATATAGGATACACTACCACTGGCTGCATAAGTCTACCCAAGGCCTTTTCAGGTGACTGATCCAACACCACTGACAATTATGTCAAGATCTCATGTCAAAAAAAAATCACCTTCAGTTAAAAGATAAACTTTAGCTCAGCTTTCCCTAGTGCAAGCACACACGACCACCAGCCACCGAAACGAAAAACACTATGCTGCATGAATATACAATTTCTCTCCTAAGGAGAGGGCAAGGGAAATGATGAAGCACATTCATGGTTGTAGCCATATCATTTAACGCTCTGTTGGAAGGCACTCAAACATGGCAGTAAGTAGGTTGGTCTGTAAAAAAAAGCAGAGAAGACAATAGCCCCAGCATTTTGACCAGTAATTCCTTAAGCACCCAGTGACAGCGTCTGGGCAATGACTTGAGTGGATTTAATGATGCACATCAACAAGTAAAGAGGCATTGAGAAAAGTGGCTATGTCCCTAGTAGGAAATAAACCAGGACCAAAGTAAAGGCCTGAGAATTGTCCCAGGAGTTGTCCAAACTGTTTAATTGTTGCTACTCTCCCTTGTCTGCCTGTGCTGGTTTCCCATGCCACGCTATGAAACTCTCTGAGGGACCAGCAGACACTCAGCGTCGATCTCAAGAAACCACTGTGAGGGAAGAGTGGACACGTGGATGCAAATTGCACTGTGCTGTTTAGTTTTGAGGCCAGAAAACAGGCCACAGATAATTTTATTTACTAGTACAGACATAGATAATGGATACATTTATGCCTGAGTAAATCATAGATCTATCTCATAGCTCGTGTGGGTGTGAGAGACTGGAACCACCTACTCCATTTCATCTAAAGTTGTCAGATTCAAGCTGACTCTGACAAACCATTAGGGACCTAAGGTGCATTTCACCGTGGCTAAATTAGAAGACTTCCATCAGAAGGTTATTCAGGGCTGGGCTGATGCAGTCCTGACATTCAAGGACTGAGGACAAGTATGAATGAGCTGTAATTTTAGCCTCAAAGAAATTGCATTGCAGTGTTAAAATTTGGAGGCAGGGCTGAAACTGAAAAACAACTGCCTTCAGGGACCTCTGCGAGACCTGCCTTATTAGACCTTATGAGATTCACCTCTGAAATTTCTGCAGGCATCTCCAGAAAGAGGCATTGTGTCTTGCAGCCTGGAAACAGCCACCTGAAATTACTGAAATTACTATGGATGAAAAATGTTTCGTGTATCATCAGGCGGGGCTGAAGAGAGCTAGAGCAGATCAGAAGAGTCTCAGAAGTGAACCAAAAAATGGTTCTGAAATGGTGTGAAAAAGGATTTGGTGGAGAGTTTTTTAAGCTCCTGTGTACTGACACAGCCAGAAACTATCTGACTCATTGCAAAGGGGAATATTGCAAAAATATATATGGTACTCAAGCTGTTCTCCAAGGCTGTGGAACAGTTCTCTAGTGGATATATTTTGAATGATGGAGGTAATTAACGCTTAGGGAGTGGGAGGAAAGTTGCAAAGCTAATTGTTGGTGCAAATGTGTGGCAGACATCCAGAGCAGAGAAGTGGATGGGGTAAGAAGTGGGGGCAGCCTCACTTCTAAATAAACTAAACTTCAAAATTCAAAATAAGGGAACTATTTCCTGAAGAAACATGGGCACAGATCTGGGTTCCTAGCTCAGTATGGCCTTGCTCCATTCATTCCAACGGGATGCGGTTTAACAAGGCCAAGTGCAGAGTCCTGCACTTGGGTCATAACAACCCTGGGCATCGCTACAGGCTTGGGGAGGAATGGCTGGGAAGCTGCCTGGCGGAGAGGGACCGAGGGGTTGTGGTTGACGGCCGATTGAACATGAGCCAGCAGTGTGCCCAGGTGGCCAAGAAGGCCAACGGCATCTTGGCTTGTATCAAAAACAGCGTGGCCAGCAGGTCCAGGGATGTGATTCTCCCCCTGTACTCGGCGCTGGTGAGGCCGCACCTCGAGTCCTGCGTTCAGTTTTGGGCCCCTCACTACAAGAAAGACATTGAGGTCCTGGAGCGTGTCCAGAGAAGGGCCACAAAACTGGTGAAGGGTCTGGAGAATATGTCTTATGAGGAGCGACTGAGGGAACTGGACTTGTTTAGCCTTGAGAAGAGGAGGCTGAGAGGAGACCTGATCACTGCCTACAACTACCTGAAACTCCTTTGTGGAGTTGTGTGGAGTTGTGGAGAAGTGGGTGTTGGTCTCTTCTCCCTAATGACAGATGATCGGACGAGGGGGAATGGTCTCAAGCTGCGCCAGGGGAGGTTTAGATTAGACGTAAGGAAGAAGTTCTTCACCGAAAGGGTTATCACACACTGGAACAGGCTGCCCAGGGAGGTGGTGGAGTCACCATCCCTGGATGTGTTTAAGAGACGGGTGGATGAGGTGCTGAGAGATATGGTTTAGTGGCGGGCAGATACAGTTGGACTGGGTGATCGCTAAGGTCTTTTCCAACCTAGTGGTTCTATGATTCTATGATTTGAAACTTCGTATGAGGAGATGAGCATAAGATCATCTGTCTGGAGCCCAACTGTGTTTAATGGAAATGGTTTAGTGGTGGCAGTCCTTCACCAAGTGGAAATCATTAAGGGCTGGTGAAAGTTATCTCTGGATGACGCCCAGAAGGTTTAATAAAGCTGTGACTTAAATCACATCCTTGCATCTTGTATTCTTCCATGTGCACACAGGACAAAGGAACCAGCTTGCTTTATGAACAAGCTTTTGATTTAAAGTTGTGCCAGATACTAGTCCACTGGAAGGAGCCTGTAAAGCATCATTAGATACTCACAGCTACCCTCTCCACTCCCAGACTGAGATCACCAAGCAGTGGTCTTAATGGGAATGCAACTTTACAATTTCACTGTCTCTCGTAGGCTCCCTTACACTGTGCAGCTTCATTTCTTGGTAGCTCGCTGACTCACTAGCATGATTTTTATCTCTCTAAAACATTTTGAAGTGCTTGTTTACTCCAAATCCAATCTCTACTGCTGCTCCTCTCCTTTTTCCTGGTAAATCACTTTATCAGTGGGCAGTGTGCAATGGTGTTTCCAGGACTTAGCATTTGGGATGGCAGATGGGGAGCGAAGAATCTTCTTACGGAGGCAGGGAACTGTACTAATCACTCCTCTGCCCACTTCAGGAATTGTTCATTTACAGCATCCATTGCAATCTGTTGTATTTCAAAGCTGCTGTTGATCCATTTTTCGTTCCCCAAATTGTTATGTTACTGTGTCCTTTTCCCTTCTGGAACTGAACTGAGCTCAGCTGAGCTACACTAAGACTGAAGTTTCCCCTTACGTTTCCTGAGGATAGTGAAATGAACATAGAAAGTGCCAAGGATCTTCAACTTAACAGAGTTGAACTGAGAAAATTAACTCACAGAGCAGGCTAGAAATTGCCTTACCTGTAGAGCATGACTAGAGAATGGCAGATAATCATGTGATGGAGGAAAAGGCAGAGTCATTCAATTAATCTAGGTTTAAAAGCTTTCAAACCTCTAAGGTAAGAGGTGAACAATGTCCCTGTTCTATAACTCTCCCATTGCTTCCCAGGTGACAAATACTTTTAAAGCACATCTAATATGCCTTTGGACGGACTGCTTATAAAAACAGGGAAAAGTGCAACAAGCAGGAGTTTGCTCTTTGATCTAAATGAACCAAATGTGTAGGTGTATCTGAAAACTTTGAAAACCAGAAAGGAAGATCTGGGCTTTTCCTGAAAGCCTGTCTTCAAGCTGCATGAGTGTAATGAATATACCTGAAAGCAGTGTTTAGCAGTCTTCTCAATGTACACTTAAAGACAAGAAAAAAAAAAGCATACATCGCTATAAGTATAACACCAACAGACTATTACTGTAAAAAGTACAAAATGAAGAACAGTCAGGACAAAAATTCACACGATACCCATAGGACTGTACTACGTTACTCTGAAAAACAGAGCCCTGCTTATCAGGTATTATATGAATGCTCACAGCCCTTTGATACTTTTCGTTTCAGTCATTCAAAGAGGAGGATTTATGACTGCTTGTCAGTTGTTTCCCTCAAAAAGAGTTTGATGGCAACAATCAAGAAAAATTTATGAAACGAGAAACAGGAATGTGGTTATATTTTTCTTTCAGTAAGCTATGCAATAAATTTTGTCACATAGTCCTCATAAAGCAATATCTACGTGGGCGAAAGCTTTAAAGTATTGCTTACCGGATCACCTCCAGATGCAAAGGAAATAGATTGCATATGGTGATTTGCTATGATCTGTATGGATCAGAGAGAAAAGTGTGAGTCAGTAGTTTTTTTTACAGTATACTCTTTTGATTTCTTTTTTTTGTTTGTATGGGGGTGAAAATCCAAAACCAAGACCAAAATGACTTCTGTATTTCACCTACAAGGAGTGCGAAGAGTAGCATGATAATATAAACAAACTTAAGGATGAACGTATCTATTCTGATGTTCTTTAACACCTAGCAGGACACAGCAGAATTGCTAAATGTGCTCAGAACTCCAGCCAACCATATAGATCCGTCATACAGTATCTTTGGAGACGTTTTAATCTGCTAAAGCTCACTTCCTTTATTATAGGTAGTGATGAATGGAGCAAAGGGTCTTATTCATCAAAGTATTTTTCTGCGGATGCCACTCTGGTGAAATCAATGAAATCATGCCAATCTGCACACCAGCTAAGGATCCTAACATTGCTTCTAGTACCTACTGTGTCATTTAATGCGTCAGACACCAACATGTTTGCAGTATGCAAACAGAATGTTGAATCTAGCTGCAATCTACCATTGTGGACAAAATCTCAGGCATACTCCAGGCCGCTAGAAATTCAATTTGCTTATGTAAAATCTGAATTAATTTGATATTTCTCTGGGAAGAGGCAAATTGTCGCGAAACTCTAACACAAGGAGAACAGCTCTGCTCCATTGCTGTTCTGAGATTTAACTTATGAAATCATTTAATAACAAAATCATGTAACAACCAAGAAAGAAAAGGTCATTTGAAAGAAAATGTCACTTGATCATCTGAGTCACAGAATTCATGCCAAGGAATTCACCTGGTATAGGACAGGTCCCTTTTTTAGTGCTTCAGAACATGTGACAATAGTAATTTGGATCTTAATGGCTTATTTTGGAGAGGGTACCACATACTTTAGAAAACCGTTCAGAAAAAAAAAAAAAAATGGAGTCTAGAAAAATATTCTCTAGGCTGTTTTCCCATCCTGCATCTCCAAGACCTGAACTAGCAACTGTATTCCTCGGAAAGAATAAAGCCTGACAACATTTTTTCTGGATCTTGCTGCTTCACCAGGTGTGAGAAGGTTGACAACTAGTTGTAGTGCTTCTTTCATGTAAAGAGTGCTTCATTTTCAATACTCCTGCTTGTCCCCACAGCAGCCTCTGAAGATGTGGTTAACTTTTAAGTGTTCAGCGGTGAACCATCATTCCCTACTCATCAGTGAGGACTTCCTTCTCTTGCTCCCAGAAGGAAGTGATCCTAGCAGCAGAGATGAACCGGTTAAGATTTGTTACACATTTAATATTACCAGTCTTGATTTGTGCAAGTAACCTAATCTTTTAGTTCAGCATCATAAAAAAAAAAAAAACCCAAAAATTATTTCAGATTGCCTCAAAAATTATTTTTCCCACTTTTAAGAAAACTGAAAAGTGCTTGAAACCATCAGTTCAAGTCAGACTTCTTTTTTTTTTTTTAATTCCATAGCTAAAGAGTTTCGTTTACTTTGAGGCAGGAGTATTTTTCCACCTCAGTACCAAAATACTGAAACAAGGCATAGCAAATTACCAACACCTTGCATTGTCTAAAATGAAAAGATTCCCTGATGTTGGCACATAATTTAGAAACATTTCAGTCTACCCAAATCTGCATTTTAAACAAATAAACAAAACAAAATCTTCCACTCATCCCTGCTTATCCCTGCCTAACATGTTCACAAAACTGTTGTGCAGGGATACAGTCAATTGCTTTCCTGATACTCCAAGGGCCAACGCCACTGTCTTGTCTTTTCTTTCCTTCCACTCTTCTGGGAAAAAGAGGATACTACGGAAGTCCACAGCCATCTTGCGGGCTGGGGCCTTGAAGGGCAGAACTGCTGGGTCATGCTTATTTTCAAACCAAATGCTTGGCACAAACCAGAAAAAAGGGGAGACCACAGCCAGGCTGGGCACCTCTGAGAAACCAGATGTTTCCCAAGCCTGCAGCATCCAGACCAAGTCTATCTCAAAAAGAATGATGCGGGAGAGAGATAAACAGTTTGGTCAACTTAGAAAAAAGGCAAAACATCGGGGTGGGGGGGAATTCTTCCCTGGGATAAATCAGTTTAACTCCATTTCTACCCCAACATCAGCTGAAGACAAGGTGACTTTCAGCAGTTGGCATTTTTTTAGTAGATCTAATTAAAACCAAGTTCCTGTGCTTCTGATTGGGGGCAACTGTCCTTAAGAAAAGCACTGTTGTGTATAATCCATAATAAGGCTCCAAACTACTGCAACCAGCCATAATGCAGCTCCCACAGTCTCAGTGCTTATTGCAGAAGATTATGATGTTTTCTAAATAAGGATAAGAATGAAGACAAATCAATGAAAACATAATTATAAACAGCAAGCTTTTTAATAGACAATGTCTATATTCTTTCTTATTCTTCAGTCCTGAAGCTTCTAAGTACAGCAGAATTTTTTTCTCTCTCTCTAGCTGTATCTGGGCAGAAAGTTGCATGCTCTAATGCCGTATGTGGCTCACAGCAAATAACACAGCAGTGACTACGCATGTCTGTCTGCTTTCTCTATATACACCCTGAGCAAGGATTTTTCTCATCTCATATATCATTCACAACCCACTGCAGTGATTCCCTAAAGTCTGTCTGTACCTTCAGCACAATGAAGAAGAAGAAGAAACAGGCTGCTTGGAAAAGGTTGCCTTGTCTCTCTGAAAGACTGGCATTTCAGCTGACTGCAAAATCCCTAAGGCTGTATTTTTGGCAGCACCTCAGTAATAGTTTGCGCTTTAAGTCTCTAAATGGGAAGAATGGCAACAAAATTGGGAATGCGTATTCAGTCCTTTAGTCACTTACTCCAAATACATCCCTTTTAACAGTCTGAAAGTTTGTAATTGTTTGAAAATGCCATTTCATGTTGCAGGTCTTTCAGGAGCAAAACCGAGCTACCTGAAAAATGGCAAAGAAAATAATTCATCAAGGTTATGTTGAACACTGGAAAAAAGTATGACTCCTACTACACTTTATATTCTCTTTTCATTCATTTTATGGACATTATTGAGGGTAACAACTTAGAGCAAGTGAGTATTTTGGCAGACAGCAAATAACTGTTCGGTAAGCTGTTCATCAAAAGCCTCACAAATTAATATGGCAGTTACACTCACCTGTTTTGTATCAGGAGTCATTAGGTTTAAGCTGGTTGTGGAGATATTCAGCATTATGCTCATTCCTGCAAACTGAAGATTGCTCTTTCCCAAGATGCCTGAAAGAACTTTACTTGGTGGCTGTGAGGGGGCAGGGGAATAAAAAAAAAAAAAAACCACACATTTTTGGTCTCTGTTTATTTGGGATGACCTTTATTGTATGCAAGGTTAGCTATAATCTTAAAGGTTTCCAAAAAGTCCCTGACTTTTCAGATCATTTCATTGCAACAGCAGTTTCCCTCTGGATTTAATTTCTCATTTATGCTACTACTAATAACAATAATAATAGCTAGGCAGGTATTGATCCACATTTGTCCTAACAAAACAAGGGTTTTGTGAGAGCAACGTCTCCTCTTCACCAGGGGACCAAGGGAGCTGACTAAGATGAATGCCTTAAGTCAGTATCTTAAAACGGCATGTTTTTATTCTGTAAAAGCAGCTTCAACTCCTGAGAAGAAATCTGTTGTTTGCCCTGCAACTACAGGCTGCTCTGCCCTCTTCCCACATGGGAGGTGGGACTGCAGTAATATTGATGGGATACTACACAGCGTCATTATGCTTGCAGACTTCTTAGCAGCAGGCAAAAGCCCAGCCATAGGATAAAACCGCTGTATGCCAGGGTACAACACAGAGCTAAAGATTACTCCTAACTCAGAGCGTAAGTACAAAGCATGGGAATGTAGTAAATGGGATGTAATCGTATTGATAACTTTTGTAGGCCTTTCACTAGATCTTTGGAGGTTTTGTAGCAATACAAGTTACGCTGCCAAAGCAAAATTTACGAACTTCTCACCTTTGACAGCTGTGGGGAATCACACAGCTGCAGGAGAGCAGCCCCATTCAGGTAAGCACAGCGTGTGCAAAATCAGGCTGCCCAGAAATAACAGACCAAGGTCTTCCACTTGCTCTACCTGCACTGGTGAATATTTATGCTGGTCATTGGGCTATAAGAGCAAAGCTGTGATTGGAGGCATTGTTCCTCTGACACTGTATTTGCATTTGTCCTAAGCTGCCTGCAAGCTTGGAAAGTTTTTTCCCCAGCAGGATGGACACGCTTCTGCTTCGTTATTCCTTAAAGATCACATATATTCAGTTTTAGTTTCCTTGCCTTCTGTTTAATTTATTAAAAATATGCTACCTACATACTGCTCATATGTAACATTTGTGCTGCCCTATTTTAACTTCGTTGTGCTACAGAGCTAGTACTTCATTAACTTCTTTTTAAAACAAGCCCGTTGTTTGAATATTCTTGTTTCTCTTCTTACCTTAAACCCTCGTGATTCCCAGCTCATGCCTAAGGATCACCTGCCCACAGTGTGGGTAAAGTGTGAAAACTTGGCCTCAAAAAGTACATGTGACCCTAATCAAATGTGTAAAACACTAGTGACAAAAGCATGATCAAAGTACAGACTGGCAAAAGATAACCTGCCTTTAACATTTATCTGAAATTCTGTTGCTGGGCAAATTTTTGTCTCAGCCAGTAGACTTTAATAACACTATTTCTTTTCAATAACTGATAAGTAACATTCCTTCTAAAACTAGTAATACAGCACGGTGCTTCACTAGTCATGTGGGACTCTGTTTAGCCTACTTTCCCAATGATACTTTTGCTTTCCAAGGAAAAATGTATTTTGCTCTTTATTTTCAGGTTTAAAAGCAAAAGCCAGAGAATCTAGAAATGCCAATGAGACAGATCTGAGGTGGGGAAACCATAGCCTCAATTTCTGAGACCATTTCCAAGTGCGTTGTGACATATGTTGTCACATATGCCTTGTTTTACCAAGGGAAGACTCCCCATTCCAAACAAGTGGCATTTCATCCCATCCCTTTCTGCTGGGATCCCACCGAGGTGGTGGAACAGCTGGGGAAGCAGGCAGACCTTTCCCTTCACCAGCCTGTTCTCCTGCACCCAACATCGCACACAAGGGCTATAATTAATTGCTTCCTATGCGCCTTCTCTTGGAGTTAGCATTAAATCCTAGGTTTGCTAGCAGGCCCCTGGAAGAGCAGGCAGTGCAAGACTGTTCAGAGCCATCAGTATAGGAGCCAAGCCAAGGCTTCCTCCACTTCTTCTTTGCAGATCCTAACTTCTACCACACAAATAAGAGTAAGATCCTGTGTCAGGCCAACATTCACTGGACCCGCCATCAGTGCTGGCCACTAAACATCCGCTACAGGAGCATAGGGAACAGAGGAACACCCGGGACGTCCTCTCCATTTCCAGAAATCAGAGATTTCCAAACTCATTAATTGTCACCAAGAACAGATCTAATCACTTTCAAAACTATTTATATTTTTGGCCCCTGCAATAGCTTCCAGCTCTTATTTCCACAACTTAGTCATGCAATTTATGAAAAGGCAACCCTTTTTGTTTAAGTCTTCCTCCTGCAATCTACCACCAGAAAAGGAGGGGGCTTCTACAGTAGGAGCATAAAGGCAAGCCACAATCTTTTTTCCTAGATGTACTCATACTTCTAGATGCCTATAAAAGAAGATCCTGATCAAAAGGGCAAGAGCGGCAACATTCAGTGGGTGAAAACAGCCAATACTTTAAATGATTAATGATCTGCAATTCTCAAAGCTGCTTTACAGTCACCTGCCTGCTGTGCCTCGTCTCCTCTGTGTTGAACCAAGAAAATAGTCAACTGTATTACAAGAAAAGAAAAATACCTTTCGTTTCTTGAAGGCTCCTTTGGCACCAGGCACAGCTTCACAAACACGGCTGATTGCTTCCCTGAAGAGATAGAAAAAGGCTTTATGGCAAATGAATGTGTGGGTTTCTTCATTATACTTGAAATGCACTGGGAGAGACCAGCTTCAGACTGTATTTCTGTTCACAAGTAAGGACAGCGAGCGGGTCAGCCAGCTCTCTTCTCAAGGCTAAAACAGGTGACACCCAAATCCAGATTACTTCAGTGTGAAGCAGAAGACAGTCAATAGTCAGTGTTGGTTTAAGGAAGAGTATCTTGAGAACTACATGGATAAAAATATTTTCTCGCATTATTAAAAAGACTTTTTCTCACCATAAATTAGAATATTTGTCTTAATACCTTCTTCCAAGTTTCATTTCTGTACCTTATTAAGCCATGTGGAGTATAATCGTAAGACATGTCTTTAATCAACATTGATTTATACCTTATTTTTCAGCCTTTCTTGTAATGTAAGGGGTAGTAACTATCATTTTTCTCACTACTATACTATGCAGTTTTTCAATCCAAGCAAAACCACCTGGCTTTAGGCAATATCTGAATCCTAAAATATACCTGGTAATACGCATGTTGTATGCAACACATGTGATGTACCAAATTTTAATTAGCATTTGTTCAATATGACCTGAATAATTTACCTGTGGCTCTATTTTTACATTGTAAGCAAAATAAATAATATTAACAATTTGCTTCAGTTTTCTAATATTGCTTCATTTCTTCCATCACACTCAGGTTGAATGAAAGAAATGCATGTTGAAAATGAATTTTAATTCATACTCTCTCATAGCAGAGTTACTATATACTACAAAAACACTTGAAATCAGGCACTGCAAAGAAATCCTATAGATCCTTCCAGTATTTAGCAACTTGTTATCTGAACAATCAATCTGATCAGTATTTACAATTTGTTTCTGTGCACACAGAGACCTCCCTGTGATCATTAGCTACAATGCTGTGAGAGGACAGTCCAGTTGATAGTCTGAGACAGAATAATTGCACAGGGACAAGTAAAGGCGACTCCAAACTTTGTTTACCTGTTTTATATATGGATTGAGACTAAGCACACATTATATTTAGACCTGAAAACATGCAAATAACGTGGATTTAATGGAAAAAAAAAAAACCCAAACACAAACCACAACAGAATGTGAGACAATGAACTACAAGTTAAGAACAGTCAAAATAATCAAAACCTTGAAATATCACCTTGATAAAAACATAAAGGATTTTAATTTTACACCATGTACAGGATGATACTTCCACTGTACACCAGGCGAATGCACAGGATCAAGAAATGAGTCAGGAGAGAAATACCATATGTGTGTCAGCATTCAACATACAATGGCTCAGCAAATGTCACAAATTTATCCAGTTGCAACTACTAATCACTATGTAGCTATGCCTTGGATGCTTCTACCTAGGGCCCAATCCAAAGTTCGAACCACCTGAAAGAGTCATGTTAATTTTTTTTTGGCGGGGGGGAGTGGGTGGTTGGGGGCACGGAACAGGACTTGCAGCAGGTTTTAAATCCTGTCATTCTGAAGAAATATGAGATTTATAGCAAGAGATACTAAAAAAAAGCTTTCAGGCACACAATCCTTTCTTCAGGTCTACAGGAGAGCTTGTTTGTTACACAGATTGTTGTCTTTTTTTCTTTTTTTTCCTCAACTACATCAGTTCATCTAATAAAATTCCTCTCTCACTACAAACCCTGCCTTGCATATGCCCTCAGACCATCCCCGCTACAACTGCACTTCATTTCACAGCTCCGCACTCGTGTTTGGTTCCCACATTACCACAACGCTTCTTTTACTCCAAGTAAGGGTTTTAGTCAAAGTAGCTACTAACTTTTCTTACAGAGCAAGTAAAACTCAGTTGGTTTTGAGGAGCAGCAGCCTTGATGCATCTTACAGACACAGCACAGCAAGCATCACACACACACTGACCATCATGATACCCACACATCCGTTAATCCTGAAAATGTAATCAGCAAAAAAAGAAATACTCTTCTTCTCCACCAAAAATGCTTTTATTTGAATTTGGAAAAGCAAACAGACACTATGTGGATACAGACCCATCCCCTCAGCCTTGCTACTGAGCTAAAACTTGGGGTTTCCCATCCCTTTCTTGCACCAAACCAAATCCTTTGGAGGCAATGGCGTGGGAAGCCCAGGCCTGTGGCAGCCGCCAGCCCACTGCTGTCTTGCTTCCCCAGGTCTGCCTGAACTTCTCGGGCATTCTGGCTGTAAGTTGCTGGCACCATCACCAGCCCTTCCTCCTCTTTGTCTCCTGCAGTGGTCTGATCAGCGCACTGAGATCCCTCACGGGTTTTGGTTCTCACAAAAGGGATCTGTGTTTCAGATGCATGAACTGGGTTTGGGGGATACAATCCTTTATCTTTCTATTTGCCTCCACCACCTTCTCTCTGGCAGCAACATAGAGCAGGTAGGAAGAAAAGGGAACATGGAGGCCACCCCCCCGACAAAAAATTTTTACCAGCTTGTTATTTTTGTGGCGCAGAGCTAGGATTTGTAGTGGTTTTGCTACTGCCTCTTCTGCCTGCCAGCTCCTGATAATCAGACATAGAGCGTGTTACTCAATAGACCCGTCTGACTCAAGGGCCTTGTTGATCAAAACTGCCACTTGAGTGTAGGAGTGGAAATGCACCAGCTGAAGAGGCTGAAGCCCAGGGCTGAGGGCTGGCAAGGCAGCCTTGGTTAGCGTTCGTACGCCTGGCCTCGGCACAGCGGGAAAGCACCCGGAAGCACCTCTCACTCAGTAACAAAGCATTACAGGTTTTCCAATTACCTGTCTTATTTTTAGTAAAATACCTCTGTTCTGCCAAACCTGGTGTCCCCAAAGTCTGCAGGAGGACTGGAAGTGGGAGGAAGGACCTGAGAAAGGTTACAGTTTGCCGAGACATGGGTCAGGCGAGGCAGGACGTCCGAACTTTAATTCGACAATTCTTTTAACTTTGGGTTTCAAAATGGTGTGAATGATAAATGTACTCCAAGATATTGCAGGGTTTAAGTTAACGATGGTTTTGGTAAAAATACTGGGAACTTCTGAAAAGATATTGATAGAGCAATTCTGTGGGGGCAAGGTTGGAGTGGCCTGGCAGCAACTCCTGGTGTACCTGCCACAGAAGGCACAGCACGTTTCCCACCTGGGAGTTAAGGAATCTTAAAGAAGCATCTGATGAAAACAGGAAGAAAAAGGGCAGCTGAATATCTTCCACTGCACCGATAAGCAATTCTTCCAGGGGAAGGTTCCTGGATCTCTCTGTTCAGAATATTCTAGATCATTTTGCAGGGGTGGCGTGTGTGCGTGTGTGTCTTTACACAGCCAGCCTGGTGATGCGGAAAAGACATCCTAAAGGCTTCTTTCTAGCTTGCATTGCCAGGCAGCACAGGGCAGACGTAAGCCTGTTTTTTGCAGCAAATCAAATTTGTAAATGCCTCTGCAGCACGAACACATGAGCCACAAATCAAGCCCAGAAATAGATACTGCTGCTAGGTTGAGATTGCTGTTACCTGACTTGGGCACCCACACGCTCAGCCGAGGCAGGCAAAAGCAGAAGATCTGGACACATCTGCATGGCTGAACAATTGCGCGCAGTTTGGAAAAGTGGGATGCAACTACATTTGCTTCCTTTCCAATAAGAGCGTTGTTCGGCATAGGCATGCACTAACACCTTTCTAAGCCACATGCTGTTTCATTAGCTAGGCTCAGATAAATAGCAGTGTAGAGTTATCTTGATCTTTCGTAAAATTAGCTACTGTGCTGTCTGCAGTAGGGACCACATGCTGAGTTCCAAATCTGCCCAAGAGTATTTTCTGCTTTGCAGATAGTCATACTATGGAGTCATTTTCTTGGGGGAAAAAAAAAAAAAAAAGCTGTGTATTTTGAATATAATTTCAGCACGCAAATGTATCCAGTGAAAAATTACCAATATGCATTTTCTGAGGCTGACCTATTCTGCTCTAAAGTGACTTGACATCTCTCTGAGACAGAAAAAAGACATTTTACATTGCCCTTTTGTTCCATTAAAAAGGCTAATGCCCTGATATTTTTCATGGCTTTAGTCATATTTTACTCTTGCTGTTATATAAAGTAGTCCACTCAGGAGGCTCAAACCTGTTCCTACATGAAACACCATCACATCAAAATAGCCTCCCTTCTTGTGGTTTCAATGACTTTTTTGGCTGTGATTGTAAGTTTTGGTGGTGGTGGTTTTAATTAATATGATTTAATTGATTAAAAAACAGAATTCTGGAATTCATATTCCAGGGACATGACCGGCACATACAAATTGCACAGATTTTCTCAACATATTTGAAAAAGTTTAGCTAATCTCAAATATTGAGATGAGAGGCTGTGGCTAGTTTTCAGTCTGAAATGTTTTGTATGACAAGACTTAAAAACTACGGATATTCTCCTGTTAATATCTTCCAATATCCTATAGTTCCTAAGTTTATCTTTGCCACCTCCAAAGTGTAGAGCTTCACAGGTTAAAAGAACTGATATCAAAAGATGGACTTTCTAAATGAAAGCATGACATGTCGAGAAGAATTGTACAGAAGGCTCCCAGTTATTTCTTCACAGTATTTTATTCCTGCCATTTTTAAAAATAATTTATAAATCATTACCAAATGTTGTAGCAGTATTTGCTGAGGAGAAAAAGGTCTATACCAAACATAAAAATAACCTGCTTCTGGAAAAGAAAAGAAAAAAAAAAACAAAAACAGAGACCAAAAATACATTTTTAGAAATCCATTTAATAGTTGAAATATTATTTGTTCATTTCCAAAACAGGCAAAGTGAGCGTGTGCTGTCTGAAGTAGCACAGGGGACATCCACAAGCCCTGAAGACTGAAGCAGTATATGGCTGTTTACAGAACTTTAAGTGCCAGCCAGCAAATTGGCCATGTCTGGAAGACATAAGGCTGGAGAAGTAGCTAAGGAAAACAGAACAGCGAGTATGGTTAGGACAGGGAGGTTAACTGTGTGGCATGGATGCGCCTAC